TCCTACGTGGCCCAGTTGCTACCCTCAGTGGCCCCATAGTTGCCTTCTGTGGCCCCGCATTATCTGCACTTCGTGGCCCCCGCTCGTTCGCGCTCTTCGTGGCCCCATACGCATTCCCTTCGTGTCCCCGCTGTCGCCCTTCGTGGCCTACTTCGTGCCCTTCGTGGCCCTGCTGTCGTTCTCTCTCGCTCTCGCTTTCGCTCGTCGTCGCCGTCGTCGTCGTCGTCGCCGTCGTCTTCGACGTCGTCGTCGTCGTCGTCGTCGTGGTCGGTCCCCTGTCCGTCCCTCTTGGGGTCGGGTCGACGGTCCGCGGCCGCCCCGCCGATCAGCGCTGCCGCTGGCCAGGCCGACGGTCCGCGGCCGCCCCGCCGCTTGCCGGGGCCCGGCCTGCAGGGAAGAAAGGTATACCCCCCAAAAGGGTTTCGATCGAAGACGAAGAGGGCGGGTATCGAGGGTTTGGGAAATACGCATTATTGGGCACTCGAGCATATAAAAGCGAACAGTCTTAAAATCGTTGTTGTTGTTGTTGTTGTTGTTGTTGTTGTTGTTGTTGTTGTTGTTGTTGTTGTTGTTGTTGTTGAACTTTCATTTCTGACCAAAAAATTATTGTTGATCCCCCCATCACCGGTGCATGCTGTTTTTTCTCAATCAAAGTGTGCCTTCGACGCTCGCACCCTGTTTTTGACAAAACTGGCCTTCTGGCCCCCGGGTTACAACAACAACGGCTCCCGCTTTGGACTTCCTTACAATTTAGCCACGACCCCCGCTCCCGCCCGAGAGTTCCTCGCATTTTATTCAGGAATCGCGCTCTCGCTTGGGACTTCCTTACAATTTATTAAGGCATCGCTCTCCCGGCGCTCTGGAGTCGCGCTCTCGCTGGAGACTTGCTTGCAACTTACTGAAGAATGGCCTTGCGTTGGAATTTCCTGCAATTTGCCCAAGCGCCGCGCTCCCGACACCCAGGCACCCAGGAGTCGCGCCCGTTGTGGCCCCATGTGCATGCCCTTCGTGGCCCCGCTGTCGCCATTTGTGTCCCCCTCACTGTCCTACGTGGCCCAGTTGCTACCCTCAGTGGCCCCATAGTTGCCTTCTGTGGCCCCGCATTATCTGCACTTCGTGGCCCCCGCTCGTTCGCGCTCTTCGTGGCCCCATACGCATTCCCTTCGTGTCCCCGCTGTCGCCCTTCGTGGCCTACTTCGTGCCCTTCGTGGCCCTGCTGTCGTTCTCTCTCGCTCTCGCTTTCGCTCGTCGTCGCCGTCGTCGTCGTCGTCGCCGTCGTCGTCGACGTCGTCGTCGTCGTCGTCGTGGTCGGTCCCCTGTCCGTCCCTCTTGGGGTCGGGTCGACGGTCCGCGGCCGCCCCGCCGATCAGCGCTGCCGCTGGCCAGGCCGACGGTCCGCGGCCGCCCCGCCGCTTGCCGGGGCCGGGCTTGCAGGGAAGAAAGGCATACCCCCCAAAAGGGTTTCGATCGAAGACGAAGAGGGCGGGTATCGAGGGTTTGGGAAATACGCATTATTGGGCACTCGAGCATATAAAAGCGAACAGTCTTAAAATCGTTGTTGTTGTTGTTGAACATTATTCCTTCTAAAGAATTATTATTGTTGGGACCCCTGGTGCGCGACCTCTGCGCCGCGCCTAGGCCGCAGCTACATTTTCATCATTTTTTCGCGAAAGCTTCAGAAAAGTGGATGAGCTCCGGATCCGGTTTTTTGTTGACGCTCGTTTTCCCTTGCAAAAAACAATAGAAAATGAAAATTCTTGTTTTTACTTGATCAAATTGCAAGAATCCCTTGCAAAAAATAAGGTAAAGTGGACATTCGTGCGCGCAAGACGAAATCCTTCCAAAACCTTAGGTTTCGTAGCGATTTTAACATAAAAACATCAAAAACCCAATGGTTTTCTCAGAAAAAATTGTCAAAATGTCCTTCCGCGCGCTCTTGCGGATTCCTAGGAAACCCACCAGATTTTAAACATTTCTGTTAAAAGGGCCTTTGCGAGGAACCTTTTCAGGTGCTTCGACCTTCTGCAACAACGGTTGCGAGCCTACGAGGGCCACCATCCCTTGCAAAAAATGACACGAAGTGCACATGCGCGCGGCCGCCGCGCGCGCGTGCCGAAATCCTGCCAAACATAATGTGATTTCAATAATTTCAAGATGCGATGTTCCGAAAACATATGCAAACGCAAGACTTTCTCATCCGAAAAATATCAAAATCCACCCGCGGGCTCTTCATGAATCTTTAAAACCCAAGATGGCCCCAAGAGGCGCTCAAGATGGCCCCAAGAGGCGCCCATGAGGCCGCAAGAGGCGCCCAAGATGGTCCCAAGAGGCCCCAAGAGGATTCCAAGAGGCCCCCAAGAGGTTCCAAAGAGGCTCCAAGTTGGCTCCAAGAGGCCCCCAAGATGGCCCCAGGAGGCGTCCAAGCGACTATGTATGTCATACGCAACAAATGCACCATGCGGGGCACATGCGGGGCCCAAACAAGTGATCAACCTCTGCGGGTGTGTACTCCACGCCAGTGTAGTATCCACGATCGTCCGCGCGCCACGAAGTGAAGTGTCCTGACGTCATAGGGCGGGAAGCTGGGTGTGGGTGGTTCCCGAGAGTCGTGTGGATGTTTGGTAGAGCTTGCATTGCCCCCCCACGAAGTGGGGGTATTGGCTGGCGTCGCATGAAAACCCTGGCACTGGGGAGAACACTGAGCGTTCGGGTAAAATGATTGTTGTTGTTGTTGTTGTTGTTGTTGTTGTTGTTGTTGTTGTTGTTGTTGAACTTTCATTTCTGACAGAAAAATTATTGATGATCCCCCATCACCGGTGCATGCTGTTTTTCTCTATCAAAGTGTGCCTTCGACGCTCGCACCCTGTTTTTGACAAAACTGGCCTTCTGGCCCCCGGGTTACAACAACAACGGCTCCCGCTTTGGACTTCCTTACACTTTAGCCACGACCCCCGCTCCCGCCCGAGAGTTCCTCGCATTTTATTCAGGAATCGCGCTCTCGCTTGGGACTTCCTTACAATTTATTAAGGCATCGCTCTCCCGGCGCTCTGGAGTCGCGCTCTCGCTGGAGACTTGCTTGCAACTTACTGAAGAATGGCCTTGCGTTGGAATTTCCTGCAATTTGCCCAAGCGCCGCGCTCCCGACACCCAGGCATCCAGGAGTCGCGCCCGTTGTGGCCCCATGTGCATGCCTTTCGTGGCCCCGCTGTCGCCATTTGTGTCCCCGTCACTGTCCTACGTGGCCCAGTTGCTACCCTCAGTGGCCCCATAGTTGCATTCTGTGGCCCCGCATTATCTGCACTTCGTGGCCCCCGCTCGTTCGCGCTCTTCGTGGCCCCATACGCATTCCCTTCGTGTCCCCGCTGTCGCCCTTCGTGGCCTACTTCGTGCCCTTCGTGGCCCTGCTGTCGTTCTCTCTCGCTCTCGCTTTCGCTCGTCGTCGTCGACGTCGTCGTCGTCGTCGTCGTCGTCGTCGTGGTCGGTCCCCTGTCCGTCCCTCTTGGGGTCGGGTCGACGGTCCGCGGCCGCCCCGCCGATCAGCGCTGCCGCTGGCCAGGCCGACGGTCCGCGGCCGCCCCGCCGCTTGCCGGGGCTGGGCCTGCAGGGACTGATTTTTTATCAGGGAAGGTCTTCGTCCTTACAACAACAACAGCAACAACAACAACACCACCACCACCACCACCACCAACAACAACAACAACAACGGCTCCCGCCTGAGACTTCTTTACAATCTAGCCAGGACCTCCGCTCCCGCCTGATACTTCCTCGCGTTGCATTCAGGAATCGCGCTCTCGCTGTGGACTTCCTTACAATTTATTCCGGAATCGCTCTCTCGGCGCTCTGGAGTCGCGCTCTCGCTGGGTATTCGCTTGCAATTTACTCAAGAATAGCGCCCGTGCGTTGGAATTTCCCGCAAGTTATTCAAGCGCCGCGCTCCCGACACTCAGGCACCCAGGAGTAGCGCTCACGCTCAGGACTCCCTCACAGATTCTTTAGGAATCGGGATCTCGCTGCCCTTCGTGGCCCCGTTGCAGCCCTTCGTGGCCCCCTCGCTGCCCTTCGTGGCCCCGTCGCAACTCTTCGTGGCCTCCTCGCTGCCCTTCGTGGCCCCGTTGCAACCCTTCGTGGCCCCCTCGCTGCCCTTCGTGGCCCCGTTGCAGCCCTTCGTGGCCCCCTCGTTTTGTTTCGTGGCCCCGTTGCAGCCCCTCGTGGCCCCCTCGCTTTGTTTCGTGGCCCCGTTGCAGCCCTTCGTGGCCCCATCGCTTTGTCTCGTGGCCCCGTTGCAGCCCTTCGTGGCCCCCTCGCTTTGTCTCGTGGCCCCGTTGCAGCCCTTCGTGGCCCCCTCGCTTTGTTTCGTGGCCCTGTCGCAGCTCTTCGTGGCAACCTCGCTGCCCTTCGTGGCCCCGTGGCAGCCCTTCGTGGCCCCCTCGCTGCCCTTCGTGGCCCCGTTGCAGCCCTTCGTGGCCCCATATCTGAATGCCCTTCGTGGTCCTCGCTCGTTCGCGCCCGTCGTGGCCCCATATGCATGCCCTTCGTGGCCCCGCTGTCGCCCTTCGTGGCCCCCTCGCTGCCCTTCGTGGCCCCGTTGCTGCCCCTTGTGGCCCCGTCCTTGCCCCCCCGCGGCCCAATATATGCCCTTCGTGGCCCCCGCTTGTTCGCGCCCCTCGTGGCCTCATGTGCATGCCCTTCGTGGCCCCGCTGTCGCCCTGTGTGGCCCCCTCGCAGGCCTCGGTGTCTGTAGCTTCGGCCCTGCGCGCATATCTCACGTAGGGGCTACACTAGGATACGCCAACCGCTGCCGCTGCTCGCCTCTGACGTGAATGTCCTCAAGCGCACATCCTCCCCCTCCTCCTCCCCCTCCTCTTCCCCCCCCTCCCCGTCTTCCACTGTCTGCCTGCCAGCACCGCGCCGGCCCGCCCGCCCCCGCGCGCGTTCTCCCCCTCCAAGCTGGGCGCGGCTGCGCCCCCGCCCCCCCCTCCCCGGGTGGCGATCGCCCCCAGGATGGGGCGACGAGGAACACGATCTCCATGCTGCAGGAGTTCGTGCAGTGCACGCGGGTGCACCAGGCCCGCCGTCGGCGACGACTGGCGACGGCGGCGTCCCCAGAAGGTGCGGGGGCTCCCGAGGGTCGTCGGGCCCTGGGGGGTGCTCTCCATCCGCCGTGCCTCGTCGGGGGCCTTCATCGGGTCTGGACTCGTCCCGAGTGGCGGCCCGAGGACGATCGAATCGCCGTCGTCCTCCTCCCTCTCCTGTCCCTGCCCCTGCTCCCGGTAGAGGATGTTCGCCGCCGCCGCCCACGCCATCGCCGTCGTTTTCCTTGCTATCGTCGTCGTCGTCGTCGCCGTCGCCGTCGTCGCCGTCGAAGAAGCATTTCCAGAGAGCAATGAATGTTGATCTATGGGAGCGGTTGCTGGCGCTCTCGCCTAGGCGCCCGTACAATTCCCAACCATCCTGTGGCGTTGGGCCCTCGTTTTGAAGAGACGGTCCCCGCGTTCTCCTCTTCTCCTCCTCTCCTCCTCCCCCTCCTTCTCCCTCCTCCCGTCACCCCCCTCACTTTGGCCCCCCCTCACACGTTTCGTGGCCCATAGGGAGCTCCACCGAAGGCCCCAGTCCCTAGTGGGGGTGCCCGCATGCGGTCCCCACATCCATTTTGGCACCCTCTCGCACATAGGGAGCTCCACCGAAGGCCTTAATGGGGGTGCCCGCATGCGGTCCCCACACCTATTTCGGCACACACACACACACACACACACCGCACACGTTTCGTGGCCCCATAGGGAGCTCCACCGAAGGCCCCAGTGGGGGTGGCCGCATGCAGTCCCCACATCCATGTCGGCACGCTCCTCATACGTTTCGTGGCCCCATAGGGAGCTCCACCGAAGGCCCTAGTGGGGGTGCTCGCATGCGGTCCCCGCACCCGTTTTGGCACACCCCTCACACGTTTCGTGGCCCCCTAGGGCACTCCACCGAAGGCCCTAGTGGGGGTCACACCCATATCGGCACACCCCTCACTCGTTTCGTGGCCCCATAGGGAGCTCCACCGACGGCCCCAGTGCCACCGTCAACAGGCGCCCCCCACGCCCATTTCAGCACACCCCTCATTCGTTTCGTGGCCCCATAGGGAGCTCCACCGAATGCCCCAGTGCCACCGTCCACAGGCGCCCCCCACACCCAGTTCGGCACACCCCTCACACGTTGCGTGGCCCCATAGGGAGCTCCACCGATTGCCCTAGCGCCACCGTCCACGTGCGTCCCCCACCCCCCCACATATGTCGACCTCAGACCAAGCACATTGGTTCTGCACGCATCCCAACATAAACACATTGAAGACCTGTGGGCTTTCCAGTGAAACCTTTCGGATGTTCTGAAATCCAAGGACAACTGTGTGATTGTAGCAATCTCGTCCAGGACCCGCATTCTCATCTCACCTGGCGGTGCATCCGCGTTGATCTAGCATGCGCCCAGTGCCCGACACCGTATCACATAATGTCATGCGGGGCACATGCGCGCGCCGCCACGCGCGCGTGTTGAAACCGTTCGAAGCCAAGGTTTTTGTAACATATGGCAAACACACATGACTCATCACATGACACACCGATAGTTTTTCGACAATACGTCTGTCATACTTCTGGGATTTCTGCTCGCGAACTTCCCCCGATCACCCTCATCAGCGCCAACGCAGCACCGCCAGTATTGTCTTGGTCAATCTCTGCCATTGCCGCAATCATCACATTCGTCTGCACCACCGACACATGGACATCATCATCGTCACCGTCGTCACCATCATCGGCACAATCATTGCTCTTACCGTCGTCATCGTCATCATCGCCACCACTATCGTTATCATCATCACCATCATCCTCATCATCACCATCACCACCACCATCATCATCATCACCATCATCATCCGCATCATCACCATCATCATTACCATCCATGTTGGCTCAAGCGGCGGCATGGGCTGGGGCTCGCAGTTGCCATCTGTTTCACGACTCTGCCTTCTAGTGCTAGCTGTCGATGGGGTCGCGCAGCCGCTCGCGCGAGCCAGTACCAGTGCCAGCAGCCATAGACGGACCCACGATGATGATGCACTTCAGGGAAATTATGCGCTCCGAGATCAAAGAACCGATGGCGAAAGATTTCGCGGACGTGAAAACGTCGATCGACAATGTACGCAGGGACGTCGAGAGACACGAGGGGCGCCTCAACAACATGGAGCAGAATATCAAGGACCTACGAGAGGGACCTTCGGCGGCTCCCTCATCCACGGCGGCTTCCTCGGTCGGGCATCCGCTACGCTTCTCGGGGGTCGAGGGCGCGCCGGCGCAGCCAATCGCGTCAGGGCCGAAGAGGGCTTGCGACAAGATATGTGTGACGATGGGCGGCTGAGATCGGGACGCCCCGCGACACCATCCTGAACGAAGCTCGTGCGTTCAACGACGCCCTTCCCGACAAAGCAGAGGATGGGGTGTTCGTCCCGCTCATGCGTGCCAGTTTCCTGAAGGTCCGTTTCGCGAGTTCGGGGCTCATGTGGGCTTGGGTACGTTCGATGAAACGGAAGCAGATCACTATGCCGCAGCCACATCACCTGGGTCGTCGCTTGTGGTTCTCTGTGGAGAAGTCCTCGGCAGAAATTCGGCTGTCAATGTTGATCTCACGTGCGAAGAAGGAGATGACGGACAACCTAGGCGTGCAGGCGGCGGACCTCGAGCCGGATTACATTCGAGGCATCATCTTGTGGAACCAGCACAGGTTCGGTGAGATGGTGAGGACCGCGGGCTCCATGAGCTTCGAGGAGCACGTCGCGGCCGACAGCAGCGCTCACACGGGCGTGCACCTCAGCCTGGTCGAGTTCCAGGCAAAGGTCAACGCGGGCCAATGGCTGGACAAGGAGAGGACTCTGGAGGAGTCCGAGGAGCAGATGTGCTTCAAGCTCATCAGCTGGAACGCTCAGGGCATTGCGAAGCACGACGCCGAGTGCTTCGCAGCGACGCTGCGCAAGCAGCGCGACTACGACGTGGCCATCCGCCAGGAGGTCGGCTACTGGGGTAAGACCACGAGGCTGGAGGTCGGCGAGGGCGACCTCTACCTGGTCACACCGCGAGTCGAGGGGCAAAAGCAGATGGGGCAGCTGGTGCGCTCTCGGGCTTGATATTTTCTACGAGGAGATTTGCTGCCGTGGGGGCGCTCGGCGGCGCGCCTATTTCGCATCCGCAAAAAAAAACTATTTGATAGTATGCCGTCACCTTTTTCCAGGGCACCCCCTCAGTCAGTACGAGGACTCCATGGAGGAGCTCTCCGACCTGATCATGGTGGCACCGCCTGGGGCGTGCCCGATCGCGGGCGCGGACGCGCAGACGGCCTCGCCCCCCCCCCCCCCCCGCAGGCGGACGAGGAGCGCTGGATTGGGGACTTCCCAGTCGGTCAGCGCACGCGTCGCGCCGAGATTGTGACGAGACTTTTCATGCAGCGCGACTTGGCGGTGGCGAACACGTTCGCAGCGGCGGCCAGCGGGCCTGCCTGCCACTGCGATTTCAAGCGCCCGCCAGCCCAGATCGATTATGTCCTGATGCCCGCTCGCGACATCTGGAAGGTCAGCGCCGCGCTCGAGGAGATCGCCGACAGCGCGCAATCCGACCACTCGGCCATCCAGCTGGAGTTCACCCCTGGCACCGGGAGGCTCTATATCTGGAACGGAGGTCGTGCGCCTATGAAGGGCTGGACCTGCCTCGACAACCGCTTCCAGCGCTGGGGCCACAGCGCCTGCTACGCCGACCGCAACCAGCGCCGATTACTTCCATGACGGACGCAGCGTGCCTGGTTGCCGCCGCCTGTGACAGGGGCCCGCCTGCGAGGAAGGTTCCCAATCCCCGAGAGCCACGAGCTCATGCAGACGCTGCGGGTGCTAGAAGCGCGTCGGCGGGTCACCCGCGACCGCGTTCAGCGCGCGATCTACAGCAAGGATGCCGCCGGGATCCGCAGGAAGATCTGGACCGCGAACAGGGCCCTGCAGCACTGCCTCCACGAGGCTGGCAATCCCCGAGTACGAGCGCTTCGCCGAGCTCAGCCTGGCCGGATCCACAACCAGCCGATGAGCGCGGAAGGGGGAGATCGAGGGCGACCCGCTGCGGATCAAGGAGCTCCTGGAGCGCGAGTATGGCAGCGCCTTCAGGGCCAGCGACGGAGGGGGCCCGTCGGGGTCTTTGCTTACCCCGCCCACTTCGCGACGGAGGATGCACTCGATACCCCGCCCATCTCTCCCGAGATGCCCCGCGAGGCTCTGTGTGACATGAAGGCCGTGAAGGCGCCTGGCGTGGGCGGGGTTGTCGCCGAGGTCCTGCGGGCCCTCGACTCGGGCTTCCTCGCCTCGCTCGCGGCCGTCTTCGAGAACCGCTTCCGCAGGGTACCCGGGCATGCCAGGGGCCAAGCCTGGTCGAAGCACATCGTCCAGCTCATGAAGAAGAAGGGGGACAGGCGCGCGCTCGAGGGGTGCAGACCGATCACGTTCCTGGCTAGAAGCTCTGCTCGGTTGGCCTGGTCCAGAAGTGCGCCAACAAATTGACCCTGTGGAGCCCACAGTACGCCTATCGGAAGTTCCACCAAGCGATGGACGCGATCTTCAGCATGCGCATGCTGGCGGAGGAGGCCCGCGAGTGGAACCGACCCAGCTTCAGCATGGGCGGCGACATCGGAGCGGCATTCGATCGCGTCTCGCACAGTTCGGTCGAGGAGACACTGAGAAGAAGGGCTGTGCCATGGCCCGTGATCCTCGCCATCATGAGGGAATTGAAGGCCTCGGCGGTGATCGAGATGGGCTCGATCCAGGCGCGACCAGCACCTCGGACTCGCGGCATCCGACAAGGAGGTCCAGCCAGCACGATCCCCTTCAATCTCGCGCTGGAGGGTGCCTGGGAGGAGTTCCCGGGCGAATGCTGGGCGCGCGGCGGGGGCTACGAGTTCCCAGGCGAGGCCGCGCTGTGCGAGGCGGGACTTCTCTACGCCGACAACTTCTGGCTGTTTGCGGGCACGGCCGAGTCGCTGCGCCAGATGACGATGGCCTGGCGGCGCATCCTGCGAGCTCGCGGCTGGCGCGCGCCTCCCATCGCGCGACGGCGCTGGACCACGAGTTCGGCGACTGCCATATGAGGGTCGAGGACGGCGTCCTGACGCGCGCGCCTCGTGCCGAGGGTTTTCCGCGTCTTGGCTCTACGTTCACCTTCGGAGGAAGGTCTTGGGAGGGCGCGCAGCACAGGGTAGCCCGCGCCTGGAGAGCCTTTTCACGCTCCCAGGATGTCTCTACCTGGGCGCGCCTGCCGCTGGCAGCAGGCCGCGAAGCTGCCCGAGCGAGCAACCACACCTGTCTTGCTCTGCTGGTCAGGATCGTGGTGCCCCACGGTCGAGGATCTCAATCCGATTCGGGTCACGCGCCGCAATGTGTTCTCTCAGCTGGTTTGAATGCAGAGATTGACGGAAGGGGGCGCCAGAGGACTTCTGTCGCCGCCGATGGCGCCGCGTCTCTGCCGTCCGCCAGTCCCGCGCCACATGGGACTTAGACGCGGATCTTCGCAGGCTGACCTGGGCTGGACACCTAGCCCGCCAGGCCTCCCTGCCAAACGCCACATCCGCCCAGCTTGTGCCTGTCCACCTGCTACAGGGGCGCAGCGTGGCCTGGTTCCAGAGGATGGGACGCGAGCACGGATCCCAGACGCATGGCCGCAAGTTCAAGGCCTGGCGATGGGGGGTGTACCTCGCCCGACTGCTCGGTTCCGATTGGCTCGCGGATGCAGGCCCGTGCAGCAAGGCCGAATGGCTCGTTCGCGTTCGCCCGCTCGCATGCCAGCTGCGCTGACCTCAATCTTCTCGTGCCTCACGCGAGGCGCTTTTTGCATGGCGTCCTTTCAGCGGCCTGGCGTGCCGCCTCGGGCGCAGGGGAGTCCCTGGGGGGGCACGGTGCTAAGTGCAAAGTGCATCATTACCAACATTTTCACCACCACCCCCATCTTCGTCGTCATCGTCATCATAATCATAAGCATCATCGTCATCGTCATCGTCACCATCATCATCGTCACCATCACCATCACCATCATCATCACCATCCGTAGCCTTTGGCCCGAGAGCATTTCAAACATTCTTCTCCCGAGGAGCTGTCTGGATTGACGCTGGCAATGTACTCCCGCTGGCGATGGCAGATACCATATGGCCGAGCCTGTTCGAGAACGCCAAGGCTGCGAAGTCCACGCACCTGCGAGATCGTCTCAGGGACGAGGCCCGCTGCTCTTCCATGATGGTGGAGGCGGAGGGCGTCATCCTCGACTACTGCCGCCAGAAGGTGACCGCGGACGTGATGAGCCAGCTGTTCGCGCTCGGCAGGGCGATGGACGTGCAGGAAAAAGCGAAGGCCATGCTTTCGGGGGGCAAAATCAATGAGACTGAGAAGAGGGCGGTCGGCCACGTGGCGCTGCGGGCCCCCCGGGGGCGAGAGTATGGAGGTGGACGGCAAGGGCGTGGTCCCCGAGGTGCACGCCGTCCTCGACTCGATGGCCAGCTTCTCGTCGAAGGTGCGAAGAGGCGAGTTCGTGGGCTCCACTGGGAAGCCATTAACGGATATCTTGTGTATTGGCACTGTGGAATTTGTGTTCGAGGCGCTCAAGGCGGACGCCACGGCAGCACAGGCTTCGAAGGGACGGAAACTGATATTTCTTGCCAACGTCGATCCGATCGACGTGAAGAGGGCGCTGCAGGGCCTGAGCGCAGAGACCACGCTGGTGATCGTGATTTCGAAGACCTTCACGACTGCGGAGACCATGCTGAACGCCCGCACGGTCAAGGCCTGGCTGATAAAGGAGTTGGGCAGCGTCGCAGCTATTGCAAAGCACGTAGTGGCGTGCTCCACGGCACTGGAGAAGACGAAGGCCTTCGGCATCGACAGCGCCGACGTCTTCGGCTTCCGGGACTGGGTCAGAGGGCGCTTCTCGGTGTGCAGTGCCGTGGGCGTGCTTCCGCTCTCTCTGCAATACGGCTTCGACATCGTGCGGGAGTTCTTGGACGGCGCCCATGCCATGGATAAGCACTTCAGCATGGCGCCCCCTGAGGAAAACCTGTCCATGTTAATGGGGCTCCTGTCGTGGCGCACAAGGCGTTTGCCATGGATAAGCACTTCAGCATGGCGCTCCCTGAGCAAAACCTGTCCATGTTAATGGGGTTCCTGTCGTGGCGCACAAGGCGTTCCCCAGCGACCGGCCCTCCAGCTCGATCCTGATGCCCGTCTGCAGTCCGCGGTGCCTGGGCGTGTTGCTGTCGTCTGGGGCATCAACTCCTTCGACCTGAGGGGCGTCGAGCTCGGCAAGGTGCTCGGCGTCAAGGTCCGGAAGTATTTGAGCGAGGCTCGCAGTGGCTGGGGCGACGGGTCCGTGTTCCAGAGGCCGACGCAGAGGCTCCTGGGCGAGATGTTGGCGGCGCCGGCCCCGGTGGGCGCGGGCCAGCCGCAGTCCATCGTGTCCATGCTGGCCCGTGAGATCTTCGACTCCCGCGGCAACCCCACGGTGGAGGTCGATGTCTGCACCGAGGTGGGGCTCTTCCGCGCCGCGGTGCCCAGCGGAGCGTCGGCGGGCATCTACGAGGCCCTGGAGCTGCGCGACGGCGACGAGGGGCGCTGCCTGGACAAGGGCGTGCTGAAGGCAGTGGCCAACATGAGCGACATCATCGCCCCGAAGCTGATTGACATAGATGTCACCCGCCAGACGGCGATCGACAAGTTCATGGTGGAGACGCTGGACGGCTCGAAGAGCGAGTGGGGTTGGTCGAAGCCCAGGCTCGGCGCCAACGGCATCCTCGCGGTTTCCATGGCGGTCTGCCGACGGGGGGCCGCCGCCAGCGAGATGCCGCTCTACCAGTACATCGCCGCTCTGGCTGGCAAGCCCACGGACAGGTTCGTTATGCCCGTGCCCTCCTTCAACGTCATCAACGGTGGCAGTCGCGCTGGGAACCGGCTAGCATGCCAGGAGTTTATGACCTTGCCGACGGGGGCGTCCAGCTTCAAGGAGGCGATGATCATCGGCGCAGAGGTATACCACACGTTGAAGGGAGTTATCAAGAAGAAGTACGGGCAGGACGCGTGCAACGTTGGCGACGAGGGCGGCTTCGCTCCTGGAGTGCAGGACATGAGCGAGGCCCTGGACGTGCTCATGGAGGCCCTCACGAAGTCCGGGCATGCGGATGTCATGATTGGAACGGATGTGGCGGCGTCGGAATTCTGGAAGCCCGAGATCCAGAAGTACGACTTGACTTGGACTTCAAGAACCCCGCCGGAAGCAGCCCAGAGATGCAGAAGACCGCCGAGGAGATGATCGAGTATTACAAGGCGTGGTTTGCCAAGTACCCCTTCGTGTCCATCGAGGACGCGTTCGACCAGGACGACTTCCCCGCGTATGCCAACTTTTGCGAAGCGGTTGGCAGCGGCATGCAGATAGTCGGCGACGACCTGCTCGTCACCAACCCGACGCTCGTGAAGAAGGCGTTGGGGTGCAAGACCTGCAACGCGCTGCTCTTGAAGGTCAACCAGATCGGGTCCGTCACCGAGGCGATCGATGCCGCCACCATCTCGATGGCCGCCGGTTGGGGCGTGATGGTGTCGCACAGGTTTGTGGAAACGGAGGATTCTTTTATCGCCGACCTTGTGGTGGGCTTGCGAACAGGCTAGATCAAGACTGGCGCGCCGTGCCGCTCCGAGCGGATCGCCAAGAACAGCCAGCTGCTCCGCATCGAGGAGGAGCTGGGTGGGCTGTGCTGCTACGCCGGGTTGGACTTCCGCTGCCCGGGCTGACCGCTGGGCGCCGTGCGGTCCGAGTTTCGGAGGCCGAAGGCCTTTTGTCGGCCTTGTTTTGCCGTTGCCCTGCGGCCATCGTCAGAGGCACCGTTAGGGAGGGATGCGCTATGCCCCTCCCCCTCTGCAGATCCCCTCGCGTCGTTAATCTATCTTGATCTCCTCCTGTTGCTTCGCGCCGTTCTCGTAGCTTGATCTGCGCACGCATTTGTAGAAGTGTGCGCTGTTAGCGCGGACGTATGAAGGCATAGGCGAAAGGTGCTTGCATGGTTTTTCAGTTGACCAGTTGTTAGGGTGCTGTGCGGATTTTTCTTGCAGCCAGAAAATCGTCGTCATCACCATCATCATCATAATCATCATCATCATTATCATCATCATTGCCATCATCATAATCATCATCATCACCACCATCTTTATCATCAACCTAATAATAATCGTCATCATCACCATCATCATCACTACCATCATCACCACCACCATCATCATAACTACCTTCATCATCACCATCATCAGCATCGCCATCATCATCAGCATCACCGTCACCATGAGCATCATCATCATCATTATCATCACCATCGTCATCCTCATGATGACCATCATCATCATCATCATCATCATCATCATCATCATCACTATCGCTATCATCACCATCATCATCACCGTCATCATCATGCATACCATCATCATCATCATCATCATCATCATCATCGTCATCATCATCAACATCACCGCCATCTTCATCATCATCATCATCATCATCCGCATCAGCATCATCATCATCATCTTCATCATCACCATCGTCATGATGATGCTGCTGATGATGATGATGATGATGATGATGATGCTGACGCGGATGATGATGATGATGATGATGATGATGATGATGATGATGATGATGATGATGATGATGATGGTGATGGTGATGGTGATGGTGATGGTGATGGTGATGGTGATGGTGATGGTGATGGTGATGTGACGATGGTGATGGTGATGGTGATGGAGATGGTGATGAT